CGTTATTATGGTTTGGGCATGGATGCTCTAGTCACCGTATGCTCTTGGAACACGAACGTTATTATCGTTAGGCATGGATGCTCTAGTCACCGTATGCTCTTGGAACACGAACGTTCTTATGGTTTGGGCATGGATGCTCTAGTCACCGTATGCTCTTGGAACACGAACGTTATTATGGTTTGGGCATGGATATGCGCTGGTCACCGCATGCTCATGTAGCATCGAAATCCTTGAACCCTCAAAAACATTGAACACCTCTGCGGTAGCTAACCACGACGGTAGCCAAAACCTCTCTGCTGTTTTAGGAGGTTCATTGTTTCCATGAAGCAAGTTCGCAAGCACTTAAATCATATCAATAGCAGATGCGGGGTCCTGGAACCATGTGTGCTAACCTGAGAATGACCTTTGTTCCGGATGAATTTTCTAGCAGACAGCAAGTCATCATCTTGAGGAACCAAGTCTGGTCAGTTCTAGGCCCGGCATGCTAGAAGTAATGGAGAGGAGTACCTCTTTGCCCAGAGTCTTGTCAACGTAATTAGAGACCACCAGCCGTCATTCCATTCCCCTGAAATCGAAGGTAGCTTTGCTGATTTGGTTTCAGCTTAATCAGATGGGATGAGGCGTAGTTGAGCTGCGTAAAACTGCGACAAGCTGCCCTCTTGCCTTTACAATTGCAAGTCCCGTCGGAAAGGGTGACAATGGAGATGGTCACCAGACCAGCCGCAGGATGTCGTCAGGAAACGATTTGAACCCGGAAGAACAGTTGTGCCATCTGAGAAAGTTCTGATCAAGCATCGACATCTTGAAAGCCGAGAGCAACATTTAAATGTCGAGAGCTCGCCCAATTGGTGAAGCTCATGCCGTTTGGCTGGCTTGTACGTAGACTGGCATGATTGTTGAACAAATCACGCCCTTCTACCTGCTACGTCCAGCAGCACATTGGTGGCAAAGCATGCTGAGTTTATCTGCCTACAATCCAGCATGCAGGCAGACAGGTTGCGGGATTGTTCGTTTTGAGTTTGATGGCCAAGCCTCAAACAGATTCACTGTGGGTCATGCTTTCGCAGCCGTGCTGAAAGGTGTTAGCTGCGTTCTATACAGGCAGCCCAGCAAGCGCTTAAACAAGAGCCTGCCTTGATTGTTTGCACTGCTTCCAAAGCATTCTTTGGATTCTTAATTGCGCAAGTCGGCATCTTGCATATGCCAGCCGGTGGCAGAGTGCCAAAAAACGAGAACACGCCGAACTGTTTTCAGGACCCGAATCTCAATTGGCAACAAGACCTCGAAGCAGGCCGGCAATGAACACAGTCTGTGACGGCTGCGTAGTTTGTGCAGAAAACTGGCAGCCGAAGAAAGGTTCGTCATAAACCTGAGGTGTAAGGCAGCAGGTCGTGTCCAATGGAGTGTTACGGGTTGAGAGGCAGGATTTCATCAGTCATATTGCGCCGAGGGTGCATTTCATGTGGAAACTGGCTGGTGGCAGGGTGCTGACCGGCCCAATTCACAATTGCACTCTTAGCATCTCTTAGCTGCGATCCCACGAGAAGTGCTGAGACCCCAAGCTTTGCGCATTTCTGGCAGACCTGCGGCAGCTCTTCCCCAAGCATGCTTTTGTCTCGTGCCCAGCCATCTGGTTTCATCAGCAGGTTGTGGATCAGAGTGGACTTGTGGAATTGCCAGGGACCAAAGGAGTCCAGCCCGTCTTGGACATGGGCAATGCCGACGAGCTTGCTTAGGAAAAGTGTGTCAGCGCACACCTTCAGGGCCATAATTTGGGCAGCTGAACAGGCACTTGGGAGTGGGAGCCACCACCATGCAGAGGAGTGAAGCATTTTCGCTTCGTGTCTCAGATGTTAGTTTCTTTGGAGTTGTGATGAGTTGTGTGTCCCTGTTCGAAGTCATGCAGAGGAGGCAATTATTTCAATTTTTGCGTCATCGCTCGAAGGCCGAGTCACCGAATTCTGTTCTGCAGACAGCTGGCTCACGCAGGTACACGTGCTAGCAGGTTGTATAGGTACGACTGCGAGTGGACTAATGAATGAGCAGGTTCGAGAGCCTTTATACGATGTGTTCTTGTAGGGCTTGTGAGGCCATGGTGCCGTGTGTCCCTGCATTGTTTTGGGGCGTGCCTTACTGCAGGATTCTCTTGGTGGTATCCTTCAGGCGAAGCGATTGCTGTCGTCTTTGACCCATGGCGTGATGAGTCCAAGCCTTTGTTGTCTTTTTCCGCAAGGCAGCAAGGTGCCACTTTTCTTTGATTTCTGTTAAAGCCTCTTGACCACAAGGCTGTTCACGGCAGTCAGGCAACATGGTGCTGATCTGAATGGTGTGCCACTATCAGGCAAAGTTCTGCAATTCTGCCTGCCCTTCTGCATAACGTTTGTGCTTCCTAAAGCTGTCAAGTGCAGTACCGCTCAGCCGGAACGGCTTTGACTTCTGCAAAAGATGGGGCGTCTGCACTGGAATTGCATGTGCTGGGCTAGGAGAACTTTTGTGTCACTAACTGCCGGCAGGTCGGGCTGGCTCTGACGAACAGCTGCGCGATGTCTTTGTCGGCGCGGCCTCATGTTTGAGATGGTGATGTCTGGGGCTGGAGCAGATATTCTTTGTAGTCTGCAATTCTTACGAGTGTGGTATTCTCTTGTGTGTCTTTTGTTGATCTGGATAATCCTTTTTGAATGGCTGATCTGCCATTGCGGCTCAGCAGCTCTCTGCTTTCCGGCTTCTTTGCTTTCTAGCCTCTGCCTGCTGCAGTCCATTTTTTTTTGTTTGCTTCCTGGTTCTTTGACGTCTTTTCATGTTGCTTCTAAATGCGGCTTCTAGGCACTTTGGCTCAAGATTTGTGTGGCTGCATGTGCTGCCACGTCTTGAACCTTACATCTTATCATGACGCCAACTGTCCTGGTCCAAAAACCTAGCTCCACCGCTGCCGCCACCGCCGCAGACGCCACTACCACCATCAGCATAACCACCACCGGTATCACTGCTACTGCCTTTTCTGCTACTACTTCAGTACCTCTGGTAGCAGAATGCAAGTCTTAGTGGTAGTAAGCGCAGCAGTAGTGGTAGTGGTAGTGGTAGTGGCAGTGATAGCGGTAGCAGTAGCAGCAGCAGC